ATATATATCCATTTATTTTCCAAGCACTGCAGCCTCTTGCCTTTTTTAGTCAATAAGTCATATTGACAAAATTTTAATTATATCCTGAACATGCACATCTGTTTTGATTTTCCTTATTTTCCTATAAAGAACAAAACTAATCAACTGGTTTCACAGTTTGTTTTGCTCCATCCTCTTTGAACTTAGCTTTCTCCTCTAAGACAAAATAGAGTCTTAAGTATTGACCCATTTGCAAACAGAAATTCTTTTACAAATCGAAGACTGAAATAAAACATCTAGCTCTATTAATAATTATGCAAAGATTAAAAGAGCTATATAATTGGTTCACAAACATTTTCTTATTTCAAAACAACTCACCAATTGCATTGAAAAAGTCACTTCATCATTAAATCACATACGAAAAGTACAGCAACCAAACAGGGTTATCAAAATGTGTCTGATTCTCAACGTTTCTTTATGCAAATAACAAAACTACCACTTCATAAATTCCCAAGCAATGAGAGTTCAGCACCCTAAGATTTATTTAGTGTGCTAAGAAGTCAAGTGTTTAACTATCTTCTTGCCCCATGTTTTCTGCAAGGTTATAATCTATGTGAGGGAAAAGAAAAGGATTTTGGCACAATTAATTTACTATGGGTATTTCTAGTCTATTTTTTCTATAGCTTTATTTCCCTGGTGTCATTGAGATGCAATAAAGGTAGGATATATTGCCAAAAAAAGCAGGTCCTTCAAATCTAGTCAGAAGAAAATGCCTTTCATTTCAGCCCATTGGTAAGGAAATAGATTAGATCCACATTTTCTGAACTCTGTCTAAATTGATAAAACTTAAAAGAGATGTGGCATGCCCTGCTGCAGAATATTAGTTTAGGAAGAGTAAAGCAAAACTAAAAAAATAACAACTTTCTGGTTAAAACACACAGAACATATTTCTCCAAATGAGTCACTCCTGAGATTACATGTGTATATTTGTGCATGTGCACTCATCCATGTTAGTAGAGATTAAACTGAGTTCTAAATGTGCATAAACATAATATCTACCTCTCTATCTCTCTATCTAATAAGCATATAATATTATAATAAACTTTCTCCTCTAAGACAAAATAGTCTTAAGTATTGACTGCTTTACTTCTTTAAAGCTGTTGACCACTACCACCACCTTTACTTTCTTCCAAAGAAAAGTAAGTAGCAAAATAAAGAGAGGAAAGTGGGTGAGATGACTCCAGTGCTGGAATTCTATAGCTTTCAGTCCTAAGACATCATGAATAATTTACCAAATATTTAGGGCACAGCCAAGAGCAGCGTCGTGACAACTAAATAAGCTATGGAAGTTACTAACACCCTTTAACTTAGTTTTTAGAATTTTGGAAACGTTTTCTTACTTCCTTTTAGACAAGACTGATTTCCAAAACATAAAGGCCAATAAAGAATAATAAAGAACACAAGATCACTTACAACTGATCGGATGTTATTTTCTTTCACCAGCTTCAGAGATGATTTATAGCAATTTGCAAGGTCTTCCTTGTGGGAACCATTAATATGGCCTCTGGCTATTGGCCCTACAGTATGGATGACATCTGTAAATGCAAAAGAAAGGAAAACAGAATAAGCAATGCATTTTTCACTTTTCACATAATTGGCCCTTTATTTATTTTAGATATTGGTGTTGGAGCCTGGAGACAGACAAACTAAGAAATACTGATGATGCAAATACTTTCCTGGTGAAAGATTTTAGATAGCACAGTCTCCTGAAGGAGGCAATTTCCCAGGAAGGTAATAATTGTGAGGAGCAACCGCTATCGGTGAATTGGTCCACCATTATTGGTCAGCTGCAAGTGAGACAGATTATAAGTTAAAATGAGCATATTTCACACCCTTGCAAAAGACAATTCCTCAGTGGGAGATAAATGGGGACACGATTGCCTACAAAATGAGCATCTTTAATTGAGATGAGAAGACAGAATCAAAGGTAGACATAACTTTTCTTATCAATAAGTTTTAGGCATTGTACATAATAAAGAAGAGGAAGTTTTCTGAAAAAAAAATGCCAAGAATGTATAACAATCAGTAATAACTCTAAGAGGAATAATTACAGAATATTCCTACCAATTTTAAAGTGCAGTCTACCAATTTCACACACATGAGGTATGCTAGATAGTAGTTAATGCTTATTTTAGAAGGTTAATGACTTGTATTTCCTGTATTAAAACTTTAAAACAAATTGTTGCTTTTCAATCTCTATGTTTAAAAACCCTAGCTTTGATATTTTTTGTACATAAAACCAGTCATTCTTCTATTCTTTTTATCTCTACACATACATAAAACTTATTTTTCTTTCCTTCCTTCTTTCCCTTCTATTTTAATTTGCCAGAGAAAATGTGTGCTTGCTAAAGAGAGAGAGACAGAGAAGGAGAGAAAATGAGAAAGCATCCCCCTACCCCCATATGAAATGGTCACATTCTAATCCCTTCTCCTTATTTCTCCCTACTTTCTGGATTTGGGCACACACGCATACACACAAGTGCCTGCCATGTTTCTCGAGATACCAGATACCAGATCCAGGGCTGGAAACACACAGTCATGTATAATCCAGCAGCTTTAAAAAATCTTGCCATGGGCTGGTCCCATAGAACTTTTAAATTTAGAAATAAAGGAACTAGGTCTGACTTCATTGTAAAGCCAAAAAAAAAAAAAAAAAGGAAAGTCCACAGTTTAATCCAAATGACTTGAAAATACCTTATAACTTCTACTTCCCAGTCTTATCTATGAATTGAATTATTCATTCATCTCATTGATGTAAGTCACAACAACTAATCAACTTTAATAGAAAGACAGATTCAGTCTAATACTGCTGGAATATTATAATGAAATGTAATTATTTGGTTTGGCTAATCAGTACCCCTTAATTTAAGCAACAATGACAACTGAATGAGTACTTTAAAAAAAATTAAGAATACAGGGTCCAGTTTAAAATTGCATATGCAATTTGAATAGCAGCAAATAAATCAGTATGAGAAAAGTCCTTGTGGCTTACCTGCTAAATGTTTACATTACTACTTGATTTGAGAAAAGTCTTACAGCATCGGTTTCAACAATTAATTCTGAAACAGTATTGAAACCCCTGTCAGACAATATTAAAGATGACATCATGAGATCTAAATAGGTAGAAAAACTTTACTAGTGAGTTCAGACAGATGTCATTTCACAGGTAAATCTGGCTTTAAAGTAGGAAACACTACTATATTGAAATGGAGGATAAAGGAAGATTAGGCTGTATTTAGGGGAAATAAAAGCACACAGATGGAGAAAAATATCATTTCTTATAATAAAAGTAACAAAAAAGACTCGCATATATTCAAGTACTAGAAGTCCTATACGTGATTCAGTGAATTTTTATGTATTTTTGATTAGCTTTTATATTTATCTATTTATTTATTTATTTGCTATAGGGCACCTGACTCAGTGGAGAGAGAGAAAAAGTGAGAAACACTGTCCAGGGAAGATAACCATGCTGCAAAACCTTCTCCTCTATTTTCCTCTCGGGATTTAGGGCATGCATGTGCATATGCCTGGAATGTTTTTCAAGCTGCCAGGTCTAGGACTCAGATCATTAGATGACCCTGTGGGATCCAGCTGCTTTAACCACCATGCCTCCTGCTGGCTCACTTTCTGTTTTTAAATGAATGCTGGAATACATAGAGCGAGATCGTGCCTAGCTTTATCTTCCTTCTTGTTTGTACCCAACTATGATATCCTTTTTTCTTTTTGGTTTTCTGTTTTTGTTTGTTTTGCCAGAGGTCACAAACATGCACCAGATAGTAAGACAGAGAGGAAGCACCCTCCTACCCCCCCCACCCCCTCCACCGTGGGGCCTGGTCATACTACAGTCCTTTTTCCCTCATTTCTCCTTCCCATCAGGATCCAGGGCACATGTGCATGTGCCTAACATATTTTTCAAGTTGTTGGAGCTGGAATTCAAATCACAGTTGGCTGTGTAGAGTCTGGCTTTCTCTGTACCATACTGAACCCTGTGCTCTGGAGTCAGCCTGATATCCAGCTATGGTATTCTAAATATTTAAATAAATACTAATGGGAAAAAAACCTGGAGAAGAACTATATATATATATATAGTTCTTCTCCAGCTTTTTTTATACATACACACACACACACACACACACACACACACATATATATATACAAATATATATGTGTATGTATATTTTTAAAAGAATTATTTTATTTATCTTTATGATTATGACTCTTATTTTCTGGTTTGATCAGAGAGAGGAAAAAGGAGAAAGCAAGCCACCAGCCACCAGGTCTGGGATTTGAACTGTGGTTGGTCATATGGGAGTCCAGCACCTTTAACTGCCACACCACCTGCTGGCCCCATAACATATCATTTATATCAAGATTAAGTGTCTCTTAGATCAAGATTAAGTGTCTCTTAATTGAGATTGTAAAAGATGTGTCTAGGGCCAGCCTCCTAGCCTAGTGATTAAGGAAGCCAGATCCCACATGACTGAACATAGTTCAAATTCTGGCCCCAGTGGCTTGAAAACCATACCAAGCATGCATGCCCCAAACCCTGATAGGATGGAGAAATCTAAAAGAGACTGTGGAGTGACCACGTCTTACTGGGAGGTGCTTTCGCCTTCTCTCTCTCTCCCCTCTCTCTGTCTCTGATGGGTACAAGAGCTTTCTGGAGAGGTTTAAAAATATGTGACTACTTAGGCAAAGTAAAGAGAAGACCTAGGCATTAATGGGAAGAGGGGAGGAGCCTATAAACTCAGGAAATTGACATAATAAAAAACATTTTTCCCCTTAGCCATCATTGTCTACATAATATAAATGCAACTTATGAAATATTATTCCTGTATTTCTTCAGTTCTACATTTCACTTAAAGGATAAAAGGATGAACAGCCAATAAATGACCCTCCTCAACATCAAAATATTGATTTTCTCTATTCTATGCTCTATATTAAATTTTCAGCATCCAAGATCAAGTGTTATTATTGACCAAAGCAACGACCTCTCAGATCTACAAAGCTGGAGGTGAATCAATGTGAGGTTCAAAAGGAAATTTCCTTCATTATTTTAATTGTTTGTAATACTTAAGAGCAATTACTCAACACTGGGTTCCTCTTTTCTCTGTTATAAAATGCAGACAGGATGCCTGCCTTCTAAGTTCAACTCCATCCCTGAGTCTTTGATTGCCTCAGAGGGCTCCATCATTTTATTGATCCCTCTCTTAGTTTCCTTCTTTGTTAAATCAACTGCTTAAATAAATTTTGTTATCTCTTCTTTGTTTGGTGGTATTATTATTATTTAACCTTATAATGAAGATGCACATAGTACAAACAGTTACCTGAGCAGTTAAAAGAGATTTTAAATATGATTAAGTGGTTCACAATCTTTTTGACTATGAAGATTCTTCTTGGCTTTAAAAGAAAAAAATACCATAAAGCTGGCCCCATAGTGTAGTGTTAAGGGAACTAGATCCCACATGGCCAACCATGGTTTGAATCCCAGCCTGGCAGCTTGAAAAACACTCTGGACATATATACATACCTGTTGAAAATCTCAATGGAATGGAGACATGGAGATATGGAGAGGGAATTATGGCATGATCAGATCCCATTGTGGGTGGGGGCTTTCTCTGTCTCTCTCTGGTGAGTACACATGCCCACCAGCAATCAAAAAATTATAATATATTCATATACTAGTCTTTCACAACAGTAGGTTTTTCTTTTCTTTTTAAAAATGATTTATTTGCTTTATTTTATTTATTACTTTTTTTAATTTGATGAGAGAGAGACAGAAAGAGAAAGAGAAAGTGAGAAAGCAAGCTGTTAGGTTCAGAACTCAAACCACAGTCAGCTATGTGGGAGTCCAGTCCCCAGTCACCTTGTCACCTGCCAGCCCCCACAATAATAGCTTTTAAATTATGGACTGAAAGCAAGTTAGAGGCCATAAGCCCTTATGGTGCAGAAGTCAGCAACAGCGAGAGAGTAAGCACAGAAGGACCATGCCTGAGACTTCTACTGTGTTTCGCCTGCCCAGGTAAGTTTTGAATCCTCCCCTCCAACTATGCTCCCTTTCCACTGTGTTTTACCTGCCCAGGTGTACTTTGAAATTTCACAGTTTCCTGAACAGTTATGCGTTCTATATGACTTCTCTGTCTTCCTTTAGTTGAATCTCTCTAGTGCAGTTCCAGGTGCACCTGATTCTGAGAGATTGGAAAAGAAACCAACACCTAACGCTGGCTATATACATCTTTCTTTGATTGGAAGATGATACCCTCTCCCAAGAACACATCTGAGAAGTAGAGCTCTTCTTCCCCCGACACTACAGAATCAACTTCAAGAAACTAGGAAGAAGTATATAATCTATCAGATGATCAAAACCCAGCACAGAGGCACAAGAAATATAAGAAAACAAGAAAATATCTCTCCCTCAAGGGAACGGAACAACTCCTCATTATCCAAAGACAGGAAAATAGAACTCACAGAAATTTTAGAAAAAGAATTCAGAATATGAGACCAGCAGATGTTATAATGGCTATGTTGCTGGGCT